GTTTTACTGTATATATAAACGAGGGGCATTATATCAAGGTTTTACTGTATATATAAACGAGGGGCATTATATCAAGGTTTTACTGTATATATAAACGAGGGACATTATCTCAAGGTTTTACTGTATTTATAAACGAGGGGCATTATATCAAGGTTTTATTATGTCTTCCCTTCGCATGAAAGGACATATATTGTATTAGTACTGGTTCTTCTGGTTCTGGTTCTTCTAATGTGATTTTGTCTGGGCTGTAACTTTTAAAGTGTTAAAGATATCTTGATGAAACTTAAAGTATACCTGCATCATCCCATAGACGATGTGCAGTGCACTATCATAAGGTCATTGTGACCTTGACCCTAAGGTCATACAGCTCTGTATGTCTAGAATGTGCAATTCTTTCCGGAACATCTTGTCCGGGCTGATACTTTTTAACCATTAAAGATATCTTGATGACACTTTCAGGATAACTGCATCACCTTCAGATGATGTGCAATGCAGTGTCATAAGGTCACTGGCTTTTACCTCAAGGTCAAAGGTCCAAAATGTCGGATTGTTTTGAAACATTTGAAGGTGCATGCCAAGGTGATGCTTATGATCCCTCACTGTGTCTAATTTTGATTAAACTTAGTATGCAAGTATAGGATGCCATTGTTAACTCTATCCAAGCATCATTTGCGAGTTTGGGGTCAGTTTTGAAGACTTCTGTAATGGGGACAATTTCAATTAGAATTTGATCATATACGCATTTTATAATTTAGAAGTAGGCAATTCCTCTAATGATATGATCAAATAAGTGCTAAGTTGAAGATATTTTGATAAAGTTTGCAGTATATCTGCATCATCCACAAACGATGTGCACACTGTCTTTAGGTCACTGTGACCTTGACCCCAAGGTCAAAAGTGAAATAAGTGCAAAGTTTTCAGGAATATCTTCTGTGGGTCATTACTTTTAAACTGTTAAAGTGGAATCATTTGTTTTTGTGCAGTATTTTTATCAAACTACTTGGCGGCAGAGTTATAATTAATGCCCTTTTTAATTGCCAAATAAGGGCATTCCATCGAAAATGCAAGAAATTTTTAAATGTTTGTTTAATTCCTTTCAAATTTAGTATGGTAATACAAAAACCAAACATGTTTAACAGATATAACCGGTTTTGTTGTCATGTCCAGCTTCTCATACCAAAGCTCCTTACCTCAAAGCCAAGGTTCTAGTTTTAGTAAAAGCTTACATTGACCCCGAAAGTGTAATTCTGAAACACAAAATAGCTTGTGTCATAAACAGTAAATGAATGGCAAGGTTACAGTCACCAACAAAACGGTGGCAGTAAACACATTTATGTCATATGTCACTACCTGCCTCCATATATATTAATACCCTTCCGAGGGTCTGACGGGCGTATCATTCTTCCGCTCGCGGTGCTCTTGTTTTTGCTATTTTTCATACTAAATGCAATTCTCTTATTAATCTAAACTGGAAAAATAAGCATGTTTAGGGTAATATCTTCCAAACTTTATCCACAGATTTACAGCATTTGATCTGGAGGCCCATTCCTCTTGTCGATATGACTATGTGGACCTCCGTGATGGTGGAGATTTGTCCTCCCCCCTCATTGGCCGTTACTGTGGTAACGTGGTTCCTGAAATGGTCCGTACCACATCAAACACCCTTTTGGTCAATTTTATCAGCGACTTCTCCGTGGCGGGGACAGGCTTTACAGCAGGTTACAGGACAGGGTTTGGTGAGCTTTCTATAAAAGTTCAATATATATAAACTTTATATATTTTACAACAATTATGAAACAAGTTAGTTCAACTTATAATAATCACTGTTGTTGGCGCGGATGTTAGCTCGCGAAGGATCTTAATGTGGGAGGAAACTGGAGTACCCGGAGAAAACCCAGGAGGTCGGGCAGGTGAACCCATACCTTTTCACATCCGATCGGGAAATCGAACCCCGGTCAACTTGGTGCAAGGCAAGTGCACTATACACTGCGCCACCTGACCACCCATAAAAGTTTCTAACTGATTACAGACAACTTGAACTTCAAAGTATTTTATTATTAATATGTAAGTGTTTATATAAAACAATAGAAAGTACAGAGTTGAGAATGAAGAACATATTAAAAAAGATGAGACAATAGGCTAAGTCTATACCTGTCTTCTCCTATAGGCTAAGTCTATACCAGTCTTCTCCTACAAGCTAAGCCTATACCAGTCTTCTCCTACAGGCTAAGCCTATACCAGTCTTCTCCTACAGGCTAAGTCTATGCCAGTCTTCTCCTACGGGCTAAGTCTATACCAGTCTTCTCCTACCAGCTAAGTCTATACCAGTCTTCTCCTACAGGCTAAGTCTATACCAGTCTTCTCCTACAGGCTAAGTCTATACCAGTCTTCTCCTACAGGCTAGGTCTATACCAGTCTTCTCCTTCAGGCTAAGTCTATACCAGTCTGCTCCTACAGGCTAGGTCTATACCAGTCTTCTCCTACAGGCTACGTCTATACCAGTCTTCTCCTACAGGCTACGTCTATACCAGTCTTCTCCTACATGCTACGTCTATACCAGTCTTCTCCTACAGGCTAAGCCTATACCAGTCTTCTCCCACAGGCTACGTCTATACCAGACTTCTCCTACATGCTACGTCTATACCATTCTTCTCCTACAGGCTAAGACTATACCAGTCTTCTCATACAGGCTAGGTCTATACCCGTCTTCTCCTACAGGCTAAGTCTATACCAGTCTTCTCCTACAAACTAAGTCTATACCAGTCTGCTCCTACAGGCTAGGTCTATACCAGTCTTCTCCTACAGGCTAGGTCTATCCCAGTCTTCTCCTACAGGCTACGTCTATACCAGTCCTCTCCTACAAACTACGTCTATACCAGTCTTCTCCTACATGCTACGTCTATACCAGTCTTCTCCTACAGGATAAGCCTATACCAGTCTTCTCCTACAGGCTACGTCTATACCCGTCTGCTCCTACAGGCTAGGTCTATTCCAGTCTTCTCCTACAGGCTACGTCTATACCAGTCTGCTCCTGCAGGCTAGGTCTATACCAGTCTTCTCCTACATGCTAGGTCTATACCAGTCTTCTCCTACCGGCTATGTCTATACCAGTCTTCTCCTACAGGATAAGCCTATACCAGTCTTCTCCTACAGGCTTAGTATATACCAGTCTTCTCCTACAGGCTAAGTCTATACAAGTCTTCTCCTACAGGCTAGGTCTATCCCAGTCTTCTCCTACAGGCTAGGTCTATTCCAGTCTTCTCCTACAGGCTACGTCTATACCAGGCTTCTCCTACAGGCTACGTCTATACCAGTCCTCTCCTACAAACTACGTCTATACCAGTCTTCTCCTACATGCTAGGTCTATACCAGTCTTCTCCTACAGGATAAGCCTATACCAGTCTTCTCCTACAGGCTAGGTCTATCCCAGTCTTCTCCTACAGGCTACGTCTATACCAGTCTGCTCCTGCAGGCTAGGTCTATACCAGTCTTCTCCCACAGGCTACGTCTATACCAGTCTTCTCGTGCAGGCTAAGTCTATGCCAGTCTTCTCCTACAAACTAAGTCTATACCGGTCTGCTCCTACAGGCTAGGTCTATACCAGTCGTCTCCTACAGGCTACGTCTATACCAGTCTGCTCCTGCAGGCTAGGTCTATACCAGTCTTCTCCTACATGCTAGGTCTATACCAGTCTTCTCCTACAGTCTAAGCCTATACCAGTCTTCTCCTACAGGCTAATTCTATGCCAGTCTTCTCCTACAGGCTAGGTCTATACCAGTCTTTTCCTACAGGCTAAGCCCATACCAGTCTGCTCCTACAGGCTAGGTCTATACCAGTCTTCTCCTAAAATGTTATTGTTGTTTATTGCTGTAAAAAGTTCGTAGGAATTTACTGAAACAATTTACCGGTAGTGAGTATTTAACAGTTTACCGGTAGTGAGTATTTCAGTAAAGATTTCTAGGACTCGGGTTACAGAAAGGATTTGGTGAATATTTTTGTAAAGTTCAAATCACCCTGCGTCCGAGGTCCGTCGTCCGTCCGTCGTCCGTCCTTAAACAACAGTGAAAGTTTGTTATCGCTATTTTTCAAGAAGTACCTGAGGGATCTTTCTCAAATTGTATATGTAGGTTTCCCTTAGTCCTAAGCTGTGCAGGGCAACTTTTGAGACTGATCGGATAAATAACATGGCCGACAGGTAGCCATCTTGGATTTTGTTAGTGAAAATTTGTTATCGCTATTTCTCAAGAAGTACCAGAGGGATCTTTCTTAAATTTTATATGTAGGTTTCCCTTGGTCCTTAGCTGTGCCGGCCAACTTATGAGACTGATCCGATAAACAACATGGCCGACAGGCAGCCATCTTGGATTTTGATAGTGAAAGTTTGTTATCGCTATTTCTCAAGAAGTACCAGAGGGATCTTTCTTAAATTTTATATTTAGGTTTCCCTTGGGCCTTAGCTGTGCCGGCCAACTTATGAGACTGATCCGATAAACAACATGGCCGTCAGGCAGCCATCTTGGATTTGGATAGTGAAAGTTTGTTATCGCTATTTCTCGGGAAGTACGCGAGGGATCCTTCTCAAATTTTAAATGTAGGTTCCCCTTGATCCTTCGTTGTGCACATTATATTTTGAGACTGATCATAAAAACAAAATGGAATAAAAGAAGAACTAAACAGATCTTTCTCATATTGCAATGATCAATTCTATTTCTTTCACATTAAGTACTCTACTAGTAAATATGTGAAATGACAAACTCACTTTGAAGGTTGGCTTTCATACACATCAGTATTAAGTTTAGATCAAAAGTTACCTGACGGTGCATTTACTGTTAACATCACTCGATCAAACGGATTAGAGGAAAGAAGGGAAAAGATCGAACTGACAAAGAACTAATGAAGATGGTACAAAGGTGGGCGCCAAGATTCCTCTGGGATCTCTTGTTTGTAGTAGATACACCCAAGATAGGTGTGTATCCAGGAGATTATAGACATAATCTATGTGGATTTCTGTTCAGTTTTAAAAAGCAACTGGACAGGATTAAATGTTCATAACATGGAAATGTTGAGCTAGATATGCACAAAAACAATTAATTCAACACCATAGAAAATTCTTTGAAGAATGATAAGAACTTTAAGGGTTAAGAAATTTTAGGAAACTGTGTTTGCAGTGGGGCTATAAGTGTAGCACCGACATGTTTTTAGCTCACCTGGTCCGAAGGACCATGGTGAGCTTATACCATACCGCAGCATCCGTCGTCAGTCGTCCGTCTGTCGTTCGTCCGTCCGTCAACTTTTCCTTTAAAACGCTACTAGTCCTGAACGGCCAATTAGATTTTGACTAAATTTGGTCTGTAGCATCTTTAGGCCAAGGGGACTCAATTTTGTATAAATGGTGGGTCTGGCCCTCCTGGGGGCTGAGGGGCAGGGCCAAATAGGGGAAATATAGCAAATTCTTTAAAATCCTTCTTCTTCAGTAGGAATGAAAGGATTTGTTCCATATTTGGTCAGAAGAATCCTTAGGGGATGGGGAACCAATTTTGTATAAACCGTGGATCTGGCCCCCCAGGGGCCGAGGGGCATGGCCAAATAGGGGAAACATAGCCAATTATTCTCTTCTTCTTCTGTAGGAATGAAAGGATTTGGTCTGAAGCATTCTTGGGTAAAGGGGAACCAATTTTGTATAAACGGTGGGTCTGGCCCCCCTGGGGGCTGAAGGGCGGGGCCCAATAGGGGAAATATAGCAAATTCTTTAATATACTTCTTCTTCTGTAGGAATGAAAGGATTTGTTCCATATTTGGTCAGAAGCATCCTTGGGTGAAGGGAAACAAACTTTGTATAATCCATAGGTCTGGCCCCCCAAGGGGCCTGAGGGGTGGGGCCCAATCGGGGAAACATAGCAAATCATTCTTTAAAATCCTTCTTCTTCTGTAGGATTGAAAGGATTTGGTCCATATTTGGTCTGAAGCATTCTTGGGTGAGGGGGAACCAATTTTGTATAAACAGTACTAGTGGGTGTGGCCCTCCTGTGACCTGAGGGTGGGGCCCAATAGGGGAAATAGAAGTAAAACCTTTATAATCCTCCTTCTACCATAGGGATTTTATCCTAATTTAGTCTGGAGCATCCTTGGGCAAAAGGGACTCAATTTCGTATAAACAGCGAGTGTGGCCTCCCTGGGGGCAGAAGGGAGAGGCCCAATAGGGGAAACATAGCAAATTCTTAAAATACCTTCTTCTGTACGAATGACAGGATTTTGTCCAAATTTGGTATGAGGCGTCCTTGGGTGAAGGGGAACCAATTTTGTATTAACAGTGTGTCTAACCCCCCTGGAGGCAGAGAGTCAGGGCCCAATAGGGGAAATAGAGGTAAAACCTTTAAAATCCTTCTTCTACCACAGGGATTAAGTTAATTTTATCCTAATTTAGTCTGGAGCATCCTTGGGCCAAGCGGTCTCAATTTTGTATAATTGGTGGGTATGACCCCCTTAGGGGCATAGGGGTAGGGCTCTGTTTGAAGTTTGTTCTCGCTATATCTCAAGTACTGGATGGATCTTTCTGAAATTTCATATGTACTTACAGCACCTACCATGGAGTGCTATATCTTTACTTCATACCAATTATTTTAAACATATTCAGGTGAGCGATATAGGCCCTCTGGGCCTCTTGTTTTAAGGTTACAGGGTGGATTTGGTCTGTACCAAGGTATAAATAAATTTCAAACATTAAACTGCTTAAAGATCTAATGCTGCTTAGTAAAAATAATGTGCTCAAATTTCTCCATTTTTCTTTTTTGAGACGTAAATGGTAAAACCGAAGCAAATTGTTGTCAAAAATTTGAATCTGGGGGGGGGGGGGGGGGGGATGAAACCGAGTGGGTAGAGTGATGATCTGGTCACTTTTGATTTTGAGGCGAAAACAGGCTGATTCCCTTATGTGGATCTTAAATACACCCCCCCCCCCCCCCCCCCCCTCCTGTACTAGGAGGAATAGCAGAAGTAGAAGTGACATGAAGCCGGGTACAAATTAATTAACCTGTGACCTTTGAACTCCCCACAGGTGTATTACAGGGATGTGGAGGAATACTGAACACAACGTCAGGATCTTTTGGGAGCATAGATATTGATGGCAGCGGTCGCTATGAGAACGATCAGGATTGCCTGTGGACAATTATTGTCGGCGATGATCAATTGGTTGTCCTGTCGATCCCAACAGTCGACATAGAATCGGCAACAGCATGTCACTTTGATTCGCTAAAGGTGAGACAAAGAACGAATACATTAGATATAGGATATGTACGGTAATTTCTTGCATGTTCACTGGCTAACGCCACTGTACCCAAATTGGGACAGTACCCCAAACAGGACACTTATGGGAAACCGACACAAGAAACTGTCATGCAATGCAAAGAAGTACTTTTATGTATACAGTTTTCATTTGGTAATACTTTTATGATAATTAAACTGTATATAAGCTTTATTGGATGCTGATTATCGTTACATGGACAATTTAAAGATGAGAATAATTACCAAAACAAAACTTTCCTGATTTACGTGCCGTGCGACACTTTTTATTTGGATATCATTATCAAAAGTCTATTTTATCAAAATTAATATGCTAGTTTAGAGAAGATAATCAGAACCCTCTTTCATTCTAAAAAATGTCAAGGGTACAGTAGCGCCGGTTCAAGGGCCTACGTAACCCTGATAGTATTTCGCATTCTATTTATAGAACCATGCGCCCGAAATACCAACTTGTAACAGAAATGAAAAGTGGAAAGTATCTATTTATGAAAAATGAACAAACATTTTTGGAACTGATAGTACGGTATAAAGAACATTGATATTTATCTATAAAGTGTCCCAATTTTGGTATAGTGATGTTATACTTTTTTTCAAACCCCTCAGTGGTGCCTTGTGCGTCGCTGGGTTTGATCTGTATAAACACTTTGTCCACTTTCGGTGCTTTCCCATGTGTGAAAGCCTTCTGGGAAATTGCGGCCGCATACTATCTACAAAAGTATATTACTAGTAAAACCCTAAGATATCTGTATTTATTACATTTTACCAGTTGATATCATGAATTAACATAACTACACCATTGATATCATTTTTGTTTGAAAATCTTACCAGATAATAGTAGCAACGACAAAATTTGCATTGAGAACCCCATTCAAAATGGCGCTCTGCATTGTTGTCAAGCGTGACGTCATTAAAACCTGACGTCAAACAGTACGCTTCAAATTCCCGCACTTTTCTGATGTAGAAATATTTGCTGTACAAATTTAATGATTTTTCAGTTAACACTAGATATGTGCTACACCCGTTTAAAACAATTACAATTACAACCAGAAAACTGGCGTTATTGGTGATTGTTTTCGTTGAAGACTAGAGAGGTATCAACATCTTTGACAAGTATCCTCCACCAGATATTGACATTTTATGTAAAATTGAATTAAAAAGGGGCTATTACTGCACTTCAACCCTGAAGACAGTTGATAGTTTATTTAAAAGTGTATAAAATATAATCTTTGTAAAAAACGGCAAGTTTACCAAATTGTTGACATTTAAACATGCAGTAAAACAATGTACTTTTTCGTGCCTTTGGTAACTTATCGAGTGACAATAGTGCAGCATGTGAGGATATTGAGCGTGAACAGAATATTCTGAAGGTTAAAATAAATGCCATTGATAATCGAAGAATAAATTTCATGTGTGTGGGATCTGTCTCTCGTGGTTGTTGGACTGTCAGTAAGTGATTTTTGTCTAAAGAGCTGGTGTCCAACGGCTCAGCTGCGTTTTCTTGTTTAACATGAAAAAAAATGCCCTCTCTGAGCCGTCTGTTGAAGTGGGCAATGTGACAAAACTTTGGTAGAAAACTTTTAAAAGTTTGGGCTATGTGAAATCTTTCAAATCCAAGAATGTATTGTAGATCTATGATGGAATGGGAACTACTGAGCCTCTGATCGGTACTTACTGCGGCACCAATGCCCCTGGAGTAATCCGGTCCACCTCCAACTTCCTCACAGTTCGGTTTTCCACAGACCTGTCTGTTACGAATGCCGGTTTTAACGCTACTTATACCCAAACTCCATGTAAGTACACTGTCCTTGAAATCAGAGGAATCTTGCAGACAGTTACTGCAACCTTGCAGACATTGTCCAGCCTTTGTATGCAGATTTCTGATAAGAGTGTGTAGCATGCAGACACAAAATGTTTAGTAATGTTGCGACACTGGTGTTGAAATAGGTGTAGTTTTTGAAGCAAGGTTTCAGCAACTTTTCAGATTTTGTATGCAAATTAGTTTCCCAGCAAAAAAATTTGCAGAAAGTTTTTTCAAAGTACCTTTAAATTCAGAACTCTAACAGGGGAAATTTCAGTTTTCAGTATTTTTGTAAGAGAAAATAATCTTAAGAACTGATTCAAATTTCAAAAGTAAAAGTTGTTTAATGCAAGCGTTTGTAAGCATTTACACTAGAGGAAAAGAAATGGCTATGAATTTGATACTGATCTGTTTGGGATGTTTGTAACTTCAGGCGATATGGTGATTAAAACAGATTTTAATTGTCTGCTTTATTTGACTGTTTTAGCTCTATGTGGTGGAGCTGTGATTTCTTCGAATGTTCCCCAGACAATCACGTCTCCTGGCGCGTCCTTCTTCCCACCGGACGAGCCAATACAATGTCGCTGGACTGTAGATGCCCCAAACTATAATGAGCGCGTTCGATTTACAATGACAACAATCAACTTGGACAGCGACTCAAGTTGTAGCAATGAATATGTTGAGTTTAGAGACTCGCCACTGGTAAGTCTCGTTCACTTCTTGTTCAATTCTCCAGTTTTACAGATCTACACTTCGATCCCATGTCATTCAGATCTACACTCCCATGTCTTACAGATCCACACCCCGATCCCATGTCTTACAGATCTACACACCGATCCCATGTCTTACAGATTTACACTCCGATCCCATGTCTTACAGATCTACACACCGATCCCATGTCATACCGATCCAAACTCCCATGTCTTACATATCTTCTATCCGATCCCATGTCATACAGATCCACACACCGATCCCATGTCACACAGATCTACACACCGATTCCATGGCATACAGATCCAAACTCCCCTGTCTAACATATCTACACTCCCATGTCTAACAGATCTACACTCCGATCCAATGTCATACAGCTCAAAACTCCCATGTATAACATATCTACACTCCCATGTCTAACAGATTTACACTCCGATCGCATGTCTTACAGATCTACACTCCGATACCATGTCTTACAGATCTACACTCCGATCCAATGTCATACAGATCCAAACTCCAATGTCTTACAGATCTACACACCGCTCCCATGTCATACAGATCCACACACCGATCCCATGTCTTACAGATCTTCACACCGATCCCATGTCATTCAGATCCAAACTCCCATGTTTAACATATCTACACTCCCATGTCTAACAGATCTACACTCCGATCCAATGTCATACAGATCCAAACTCCAATGTCTTACAGATCTACACTCCGATCCCATGTCATTCAGATCTACCCTCCCATGTCTTACAGATCCACACCGCGATCCCATGTCTTACAGATCTTCACACCGATCCCATGTCATTCAGATCTACTCTCCCATGTCTTACAGATCTAGACACCGATCCCATGTCATACAGATCTACACTCCGATCCCATGTCTTACAGATCTACACACCAATTCCATGTCATACAGATCCAAACTCCCATGTCTAACAGATTTACACTCCGATCCCATGTCATACAGATCCAAACTCCCATGTCTTACAGATCTACACTCCGATCCAATGTCATACAGATCCAAACTCCCATGTCTAACATATCTACACTCCCATGTCGTACAGATTAACACTCATGTCTTATATGTCTTTCAGATCTAAACTCTCATGTCTTTCAGATCTAAACACTCATGTCTTACAGATCTAAACACTCATGTCTTACAAATCTTGACCTTATGTCCTACACTTACAGATCACTGCTGAGGTTTACAAACAAGAGTGCATTTCTTATCAATATTAAAAATAAAATATCTATATCATCATGTTTTTTCCAAAGCTTTCTGTACTTGTTGCTTTTTTAGTGGAAATGATAAAGACATACTGTTACACTGATGCCATACATGTGACATAACTGGCCTCGAGACAGCTGGTCTGGTAGATTCCTTATCATACATGTGACATAACTGGGCTCGAGACAGCTGGTCTGGTAGATTCCTTATCATACATGTGACATAACTGGCCCCGAGACAGCTGGTCTGGTAGATTCCTTATCATACATGTGACATAACAGGCCTCGAGACAGCTGGTCTGGTAGATTCCTTATCATACATGTGACATAACTGGCCTCGAGACAGCTGGTCTGGTAGATTCCTTATCATACATGTGACATAACTGGCCTCGAGACAGCTGGTCTGGTAGATTCCTTATCATACATGTGACATAACTGGCCTCGAGACAGCTGGTCTGGTAGATTCCTTATCATACATGTGACATAACTGGCCTCGAGACAGCTGGTCTGGTAGATTCCTTATCATACATGTGACATAACTGGCCTCGAGACAGCTGGTCTGGTAGATTCCTTATCATACATGTGACATAACTGGCCTCGAGACAGCTGGTCTGGTAGATTCCTTATCATACATGTGACATAACTGGCCTCGAGACAGCTGGTCTGGTAGATTCCTTATCATACATGTGACATAACTGGCCTCGAGACAGCTGGTCTGGTAGATTCCTTATCATACATGTGACATAACTGGCCTCGAGACAGCTGGTCTGGTAGATTCCTTATCATACATGTGACATAACTGGCCTCGAGACAGCTGGTCTGGTAGATTCCTTATCATACATGTGACATAACTGGCCTCGAGACAGCTGGTCTGGTAGATTCCTTATCATACATGTGACATAACTGGCCTCGAGACAGCTGGTCTGGTAGATTCCTTATCATACATGTGACATAACTGGCCTCGAGACAGCTGGTCTGGTAGATTCCTTATCATACATGTGACATAACTGGCCTCGAGACAGCTGGTCTGGTAGATTCCTTATCATACATGTGACATAACTGGCCTCGAGACAGCTGGTCTGGTAGATTCCTTATCATACATGTGACATAACTGGCCTCGAGACAGCTGGTCTGGTAGATTCCTTATCATACATGTGACATAACTGGCCTCGAGACAGCTGGTCTGGTAGATTCCTTATCATACATGTGACATAACTGGCCTCGAGACAGCTGGTCTGGTAGATTCCTTATCATACATGTGACATAACTGGCCTCGAGACAGCTGGTCTGGTAGATTCCTTATCATACATGTGACATAACTGGCCTCGAGACAGCTGGTCTGGTAGATTCCTTATCATACATGTGACATAACTGGCCTCGAGACAGCTGGTCTGGTAGATTCCTTATCATACATGTGACATAACTGGCCTCGAGACAGCTGGTCTGGTAGATTCCTTATCATACATGTGACATAACTGGCCTCGAGACAGCTGGTCTGGTAGATTCCTTATCATACATGTGACATAACTGGCCTCGAGACAGCTGGTCTGGTAGATTCCTTATCATACATGTGACATAACTGGCCTCGAGACAGCTGGTCTGGTAGATTCCTTATCATACATGTGACATAACTGGCCTCGAGACAGCTGGTCTGGTAGATTCCTTATCATACATGTGACATAACTGGCCTCGAGACAGCTGGTCTGGTAGATTCCTTATCATACATGTGACATAACTGGCCTCGAGACAGCTGGTCTGGTAGATTCCTTATCATACATGTGACATAACTGGCCTCGAGACAGCTGGTCTGGTAGATTCCTTATCATACATGTGACATAACTGGCCTCGAGACAGCTGGTCTGGTAGATTCCTTATCATACATGTGACATAACTGGCCTCGAGACAGCTGGTCTGGTAGATTCCTTATCATACATGTGACATAACTGGCCTCGAGACAGCTGGTCTGGTAGATTCCTTATCATACATGTGACATAACTGGCCTCGAGACAGCTGGTCTGGTAGATTCCTTATCATACATGTGACATAACTGGCCTCGAGACAGCTGGTCTGGTAGATTCCTTATCATACATGTGACATAACTGGCCTCGAGACAGCTGGTCTGGTAGATTCCTTATCATACATGTGACATAACTGGCCTCGAGACAGCTGGTCTGGTAGATTCCTTATCATACATGTGACATAACTGGCCTCGAGACAGCTGGTCTGGTAGATTCCTTATCATACATGTGACATAACTGGCCTCGAGACAGCTGGTCTGGTAGATTCCTTATCATACATGTGACATAACTGGCCTCGAGACAGCTGGTCTGGTAGATTCCTTATCATACATGTGACATAACTGGCCTCGAGACAGCTGGTCTGGTAGATTCCTTATCATACATGTGACATAACTGGCCTCGAGACAGCTGGTCTGGTAGATTCCTTATCATACATGTGACATAACTGGCCTCGAGACAGCTGGTCTGGTAGATTCCTTATCATACATGTGACATAACTGGCCTCGAGACAGCTGGTCTGGTAGATTCCTTATCATACATGTGACATAACTGGCCTCGAGACAGCTGGTCTGGTAGATTCCTTATGGTGCCTTACATGTGACATAACTGGCCTCGAGACAGCTGGTCGGGTAGATTCCTTATCATACATGTGACATAACTGGCCTCGAGACAGCTGGTCTGGTAGATTCCTTATGGTGCCTTACATGTGACATAACTGGCCTCGAGACAGCTGGTTGGGTAGATTCCTTATCATACATGTGACATAACTGGCCTCGAGACAGCTGGTCTGGTAGATTCATTATGGTGCCATACGAGTGAAATCAATCAGTAGAAAAATTGAAGTTGAGACAGAAGAAGGTTCCACGATGTGTATAATGTGATTTTAACCTCAAACTTCCTGTCCAGAACTTCTAGCATCCTTTTGAACATTATTTCATATTATTCTTTTATTATTTCGTGAAGATGATTAAGTATTTGCCAGTTAAAATATTGTTTATATGAATACTAGATTATTTGATTAAGTATTTATGATTTAGAATATTGTTTATTTGAAAACTAAAATCTGTGAAATGGAATCATTATTTGTACTAATTATATGGGTGGTCGGGTGGTGCAGTGGACAAGGCACTCACCTTTCACCAAGGCGGCCCAGGGTTCGATTGCCCAATCGGACATGAAAAGGTATGGGGTCACCTGCCCAATCATGTGGCTTTTCTCCGGGTACTCAAGTTTCTTCCCACACTAAGACCCCCTGCGCCCAAACATCCAGGCCAACAAGAGTGATTATATAAGTTGACATAACTTCTTTCATAATTGTTGTAAAATATATATAAAGTTTATATTTATATTTTATATATTATTTGTACTTCTATATATGTGTGTTTGAACTCTTTGTCAGGGCTATGGCGGGCGGTCGATGCACTACTGTGGGTCAACACCTCCGAATTTGTTTGAGTCTGTTGGACAAACGGCCATGATCAATTACAAAGCATTACGTAACGGCATAGGTCACGGCTTCTCACTAACGTACCAAACTGCCAGTAAGTTTTATGGTGTCTGATTTATAGACAAGCCAACGTAATATTATATGTCATACACCTATAGTACGTCATGTCCTAGTAAAGCTAGTTTGATGGTGTCTGATTTATAGACAAGCCAACGTAATATTATATGTCATACACCTATAGTACGTCATGTCCTAGTAAAGCATAGCTGTCAACCCTCCCTCACTTTGACCAAAATTACCAAAATAATGATCATAACAGGTGTGTCTCAATCGAATAAATGCCTTTTTGGAGTTATTTTGATACATTGAAAGGGAAAGATAAATTGAACAATGCAGTTTAAGTCGCATGCACTTTCTCCCTCATCGGAAATGAGGAATGAGGGAGATCTCCCTCATGGGAGGTTTAGAGGTTGACACCTATGATTAAAGATTATATGCTACCTTAATCTGAATACCAGTGATTTGTGTTAGTGTTATCTCCTTGAAAGTTATGTGCTACCTTAAACTAAATCCTACGATTTATGTTAGAGTTTTATGCTACCCTACACTTCATGCCTGTGATTTATGTTAGAGTTGTCTCCCTTAAGCATGTATACTGCATTTCACATGAAAGTTCCTATATCAGACTGTTTGTGAACTTAATTTTCCCAGTTCTAATTCAAAATTAATAAGAAAAACTTTACAATAATGTTTAATAACACTGAATGAGCAGGAACCCTACTTTTCAAAACATGTACATGTACTACATAATATGTATGCATGTTTGTATGTATATACATCCTTTGTATGTACCTATGTTCTTCTGTATTTACTGACACCCTTGATCTGACTTTGACCTTTGACCCGTACAGCCTGTAACAGGACTTACAGTGGATACAGTGGACAGATACACAGTCCAGGCTGGCCAGGTAACTATCCCAGCAATATCTACTGTGAGATCGTCATTACAGGGCCCCCAAACACCTGGCTCACACTCTACTTCAACGCCTTCAGCATCGAGTCACACAGGTCCTGCCGCTTCGACTACTTGCAGGTAAATAAAAAATTTTGTAATGGTTTTATTTTTCTAAGTTTTTCATTACATATACATAAACAGGACATTCACGCATTCTCACATATATCACATATACACACACGGACATGGATTAAGCATTATCACAATCAATTTCATTGTCATCATTCTATCATCATCAACATATCATCATCATCATCATCATTATCTTTATCATCTTCTTCATCCTCTTTCATATATACTTATTCAATCATCATCATTGCCATAATCCATCATCATCCAAAATCTTCAGTCATCATTTCATATATATCATCATCAACATATAATTATCATCATCATCATATCATCATCATCATACAATCATCACCATCATCATACAATCAT